TTCGCAGTCAGGGGTACTAAGCACTAGACCAATGAGTTACTCTTAATAACAATAAAAAATTTCACTTGTTTTAAATTCAAATGTTACAATCTTAGTTTACAAATCTTCACTGTCAAAATGGTATCATCTTGATATTTAGAAGTTTGATTTGTTCAGACTGTCGCTGTTTAGTTCTTGAGTATAAAATAAAACAAGAAAAAAATCAGACTTGATTTTTTTAAATATATAGGATATAATATTTTGAATTCTATGAGTGGTAAGTGATAGGAGGGGATAAAGTATAGGAATTATAGGCTTCTTCCAACCCTGCCGGGAGGAAGCCTACGCCGGCCGACCTGCCGTCGTCCTCTCGTTCCGTCGCATGGATGCCAATGTAGGACTCGGTCACTCCACCGATTGTATTTAGCTCTGGCAAAGCATACTTCTCTCTGTAGCTCTTTTGAAAACATTTTTTTGAAGTTATACTTCTTTAGGCGCGTTATGAAATATTGATAAGAGTGAAATTTTACGATGCGCGCGCACCGTGACACAAAATTAACAGAATGAAGTTGCCCACGAAAGATGCTACGGCATTGGACATAATTTAAAAACAACATTCGAAAAATAATAGAATTTATGTTACACTTGTTACGTAGCCCTATACCATGGAATCTGCATTTCGCAATATATAAAGAATAACACGTCCCTAACGTTACATGGTGTCAGCGGAATTCGTATGTCGCAACTTACACGAGTTAGAGCTCTTGTTAACGAACGTTTTTGTCAACGGGTAACGGGCCGACGCAAAACGGCTACCTTTGTACATGATACGCTAAATATAACGTGAACGCGTCCGTTGTTGTCGATATCAGTTCTATTAAATTTGAAGGGAGAAGTGCACGTACGTTGATTATTATTTATCAGATAATGTCTCAAAATCTTCATTTAGCATTACGAACATTTCTTTCCTTGCCGCAAAATTTGCTTGTTTATTTTTGTAATTTTCTATAGTTTTGTCCCATAACATAGGCAACATAGTTCAGAATAACAAGGCTAATTAATAAATCCATATCAATGGTAAACTCCATATTCACAATGAGCAGCAGAGGGTAGGTAAATAAATATAAACGTGCGCACATCCGTCGTCGTCAACACACTTCTATGAAATGACATAGTTCACTGCATCGGACAGTCCGCCGTCGCGCCGAGGGGCAACGTGAGCGCATCCGTTTAGTCACGTTGCAACGGGTATGAGCCCGTCGCGTTAACAAACATTCACTCAACTTACTTGAACACTGGGCGTCGGCCCGTCGCCCGTTTTAAAAATCGGGCCGTTGTCCGTTGTCGTTAACAAGAGCTCTTACACGAGCCTCACGTTGCATAGTGTCAGCAATTGGTGCCTCTTCAAGCCTTATTATTTCTATATTTTATGTGCATTCAATTTCCTTACTTCGGGTTGTTTAGCCGTATTTTAATTATAGTTTAAATTGTAATTTTATTTTTAAAATTAGTTTAAAACATTTGGTTTTTTTTGAAACCTTCGTCTGTGGCCTTCGTAATTCACTTAATGTAAGAGAATAATAATAAATATTTATTTATTTAACTTTTCAAGTGTAAACTGAACTTTATTGACTAATGACTCCTTTTCCAGTATTTGATTATTTGTGCGCATGAGGGTACAATTTTTACGGAACGTCACGAAGATGTGCAGCATTTATGTCGAAGATAAGGGAGAGAGCGATGAGACCGATTGAGAGAGTGAGAATTAAAAAATTAAGGGTGAATTACCTTATAGAAATTCAATAAAATTTCGTAAAGAGAATTTGTGAAATATTTGTATTTTAAATGTTTTGCAAAATAATTTATTGAAATCTCAAATAACGAATTGTAAATATTAAATTTATTATTTGTTTTAATTTTCGACACTATATTTTAATGACAATTAAATTCATTAAATTCCTAACATACTTCCTTTTTCCTTCCCTCTAAGTCACGGAAATCTAAAGTTTTAGATTTGTATAAATATGAACAAGAGTTAAAAATTCGTTTGCCAAAGAAGTTTCACTTCTGACATGTGTACTTGTACGCACGCCCTTTTTATCTTTGGATCAGCCGCTCTTTTGATTTTTCACACATTTTATTTGTCTGCATTTATATTATATTCAGACCTTACAATACTAAAATTACTGGGGTTCAGTATTATCAAAGCCATGTTTCATGTTTATAAATAAAATATTGAGCAGAGAGTGGAAGCGGAAAATGGGAATTTTTTTCGAAATAAAAAACAAATCTCAATAAAATCACTATCTATATTTACATCAATCAGATAACAAACCATTCGAATCATATATACAAATGACCAATTTTACATAAACCCATAACAATTCGTAAAAAAAGTCTAACCAATATACACTTTAAAACAAGAAAAAGTAATATCAAATATTTGTCAGAATTGCAAATTTTAATGCATTCCTTATTGTACTAACGGCTGTTTTTTAATGGTCCTTGTTATACCATTTTCGCATATAGATTACATTCGATACAAACATAATACATAATGATTGAAAACAACTTAGTACATTCAACCATATTTCACAATTGTTCCAACTAGTGTAAGATGAACCCTACCCGCTAGTATGACAGTTCTAGTCTAGGTGTCTTTGGCAATAATATTAGTTTTCATAGGAAATATACACAGCCTAGCTAAATATACCACTTTGGCACTAATTAGTGGTAACTTGGTGTATTATAGCGGAGTGGTCACATTAACATGATATTGGTTTAGGTAAATATATATGTACTTAAAAATAAAGCAGATTTACTATAGAATATATTATTTATTGAGCCTACTATATAAAAATAGACAATTCTCGTTATAATCTGCTAACTAAAGGCATGTAAAGTTAGCGCTTAAATTGACAGCTGCAGTAAAATATATACGAAATTCAAAAGCATTTAAAAACGTGTTATAAAATTTAAATTTTACCGCGCAAATGGGTTTAATCTAAAATCTCATCAGATGGCATCACTATTAAGTGTCAAAAATCAGCCATATTTTTTTAATAAGCTTTATTTACAAGGGCTTTTGCTTTTAAAACATTTGCTTATTCCAATTGTATGTAACATACAATTCTGTATTTTTTGCACACAATTTATATTTTTGTAATGTTAAATGAAATTGAATTTAAGAAATTCTTTATTTAATTTGTTTCTTGACCGTGGATACAATCCTTTAGTCGAAATAATAATTACAAAATTGCCTAACAGTGTTGCCCTCTAAAGTGAACAATATTTACTTTTAATCCCCATTCGGGCATACAGCTGACAACTCTTGTAATTTAGCGCTACATAAACTAAAATCTTATTAAAATGAATATAACAACTGGAATAATTTATCTAAATGCTTATTTCGTACATCGCAACTTTTGAAAACACATAACAAAATATATATTTATACGCAACAAAATCAACGAAAATAATCTTAAAATATTTTTGATTAGGTAATATAACCTTTGCTAATAGAATTGCGAAACTATTAAAACCCATTTTTTATATTTAGTTTCGCACATTAATTCACTAAATATAAGTACGTAAACATATTGACTTGAGCTTGACTAAAGACTAGAACAATAAATTACAACAAACTAAATATATTACTGAAAATAATATATGAATAACTGGCAAGAATTACTTTAACTGTGTTATCAATAATCTGTGTTAAAATATAAATATACACAGCTTTTCTCATGCAATATTTATCTTTAAAAAAATTACAAATTCGGTAAAAGTTTACTTTGCTTTTGTTAAAGTTGACCTCATAACATATTTTGGACACAGATTACAGTATTTCTAAAACCTGTATTGCCATCCCTTTCACACTTGGGTGTTGTGAGCAAGACGGCAATAGTAAAGGGTTGAAATAATTCGTCAAAATAAGCCTAATAAAAGGAATGAATACAACTAAGGAATGTTAGTATTTATAATTTCTAGCACCGACTTTAAATTATGCATACCCAATTACTGAAACTACTTAAATTATTTGATGGAAAATAACAACCATTAATATAAAATGGAAAAATATAGTTTTAAATACGTTTTCATACGCAATGGGGGTTACTTTTATTAATATTGTAAAATTTAATATATTTCAGCTAAAAAAGCTTTAAAACTTTCTTAAGCAACCAGATGGCGTTATTCTTGATTTATCGGCTATTGCATATTTCGAGTCAAAGTTTAGGGGTTTTAGAATTGTCAAGCGATGACAGTTTTAAACCTAAACTCAAACTAGATTCAGGGATGTAAATATCCGCCTTAGAGGCCTCCTACTTTAATCTTATTCGTTAGATAAAGACAGCCGATCCCCGTTTTTCAATTTCCAAAGTAAAGGATTGAGAAAAAATAATTTCGATATTTGTATGAGAAAATAAGTCTGATAACAATATAACACATTTTATAGATCATCCCTCAATGGATATAAGTAGCGCGTGTCTGACACTTGCTTTAGCCTTTTAGGCGAAATCGACTGGTATACAAATTAAATAATGGTGATCTTTGGATACATTTAGAAAACAAATTCTTACACACAAACCTTATGTAACACAATCACATGTTCTGAAAAGCGCCAATACCTCAAATACAATAAAATAATGAAGACAAAAGTTGATTTATAAATTAACAATACAATGTTCAAATAAATATTCCATTATAATTTGTTAACATTAACGACTTTAAAAACATTAAAGATTTTCTTAAAATCGAATATTAAAAAATAATGTTAGCACCATCTCGTGGCGTACGTAAGTGCAAAACCAAATCTACTGAATCTCTTCTAATACAAAATCAAAACTTTTTTTGAAATCTTGCAATTTTACATTTGTTTCGGCTATATTTAAGTTATTCTTTTACTTTTGTAAGGTACAACCCAATAAAATTGTCTAAAGCGCCATCTAGGGAGGAATAGAGGTATCAGCAGCTTCACGAACTAATATCACTGAATATCACGTGTCAGTCACTGGTCTACGCTAACTGAAGAGCGTGTCATTGGGCACGTCCGCGTACCTGTGGCCTTGCTCTGCCATGTCTGTTAGTATCACACCCGAAAGGGCTTCCAAAGACTGTCGCACCTGAAAAATTATTTGCTATAGAAAATTATTGTAAGTTATGCTAGCTAGATAAGTGTCTGATGCCGTTCCTTCGAACGTCAACTGCCCAGGCAATTTCACGTTTCCTTGCCCATATTAAGGAAAACATCGTTCAAACATCAAAGTGTAACAAAAATCTAAATAAAAAAATTATCAGATACAGAAATTTAAGGAAACGATTTTTATCTAATAAACGCGCAGCGCTTCGTGAGCGCATTTGGAACTAAAAGGAAGTTGTCTTACGCCTAGTTCTTGAAAAGTCAAGCCAAAGTTAAGTGTAAATTGAGTTACTCAAAGCATGATTTTGTGTGTATACATACAACTCAACAACACGTTTAAGTTAAAATAACTGTAAAGGAACGCAATATATAATATTGTATCAATTATTAAATAAGTCCTATAAATCAAAGTCAATCCGAAATTAAAAAAAAAAGGATAGTGCAAGAGTGTATTAATCTCAGTAGCAAAATTAATTACAAAAAAAGGGAGCGTGTAAAGTTCAGTTCACATTTGAAAAATTAAATAAATAAATATTTATTATTATTCTATTACATTAAGTGTAACATAAATTCTATTAATATTCCAATGTTGTTTTTAAATTATGTCCAATTCCGTAGCATCTTCAGTGGGCAACTTCATTCTGTTAATTCTATGTAACGGTGCGCGCGCATCGTAAAATTTCACTCTCATCAATTTTTCATAACGCGCCTAAAGAAGTATAACTTCAAAAATATTTCTTACATATTTACTACTCTATTACTAAACAAATCTTAACAAAAAAAAACCTTAGTGAGCAGCAGCAGATTGGTAGAGAGGAAGGCGTGTAGCTCGTTAGCAGCTCGTCCATGGAGACGGGTGCGCCATCTGACCAGCTCCGAGTACAACTCTTCGCTGGACACGCTCGTAGCCCACTCCTGGTATATGATTAATATTTACTTTAAAAATAATAATTAATTTATGTACTTTTTACAGGCTGCAATATGGTGGCTAAAATAAGCTAGTTAGTAGTAGTCAGTTTGATTTAAATGGTTAATATTGACCTCAGCCACAAAGGTTAAAAGTACCTAGACTACTACGCGTAATAGTAAATAAAAAGATGTGTGAAACCTAGTCTTATTTTGACGCCCGATTCTTAATTAGATAGTTAAAGCTTTAATATAGACATAATCTAATTTCCTTTTTACCTTATTACTACTAAGATTATTATAGAACTATTTAATTCTGTAATAGATTATTACTATCATTGAAGGATCATCTTCTGCTTCATCATAATTTTTATAAAAGTCACTTTCAGACAAATGACGGTACGATAAGTTACTGTTTTTTTCAATGATAAAGAAGTTCCCTTCAAAAATGGCTCACTGTACAGAAATGTAATTCTATAATTTCGATCATATCAATAGTTAGTAGCGCACACTAAACACTGAGTAGAGAGAGGGGAAAGCGTCTGACCGAAATACGGGTAGCGCTGCGGGTTTGAGCGAGAGGGGAGGAGCCTGCCTACCGCTGCCGTATGCGTGAGAGAAAGGGAAGCTAGACATAATGGCGACGTAACGAGTAACGTAACGAATCGGTTTACCCTCCCATAAGAAGTTATCACTTCAAAATAAAATTACAGGTAAGATACAAGGTTTGTTTTTTAATTGTATAAGTATAAAAATACTAAAAGTTGATCTTAAGAGTCCTGAATCACAATGCTAGGTTCTAAAATACATACTAATAATTTATATAAGATTCCAAAAAATAGTATAATTACAAAAGTCACGATTAAACAAATGGAAAGGATATGATTAAGAGGTGTTTATATAGAAGACTATTAAAAAACGTTAGTTAATCGTTTGGTATCGGGGAACGTATTCCATAACTCGGCGGAAATCTTAAGACGACTAGATCCTAGAGGACCTAAGGAAGGATGAGCTAATGGAGATGGAATTTCCAAAATGCATCTATTTACTGCCAGTTCTCAAATCAAGCCGTAGAGTGGGCGAGAAGAACTGGCAAGAAACTCTACCCCACTCTTTGCCAAGTACCATGATAACCAACTATAATGACGAAACAGTTGTCAAAATAAAAAAAGGTAATACATATAACACTGAACTTCCAATCTTTTTACTTAACACTAACTAGAAACATCACGGAAGTTTACGGCAATGTCATAGCAATAACAACTCGATATAGTACAATCAGAAGGGTGGAATACTTACGTGGGGTCTATACGTGACGCAATAAAGCTTATATGAGAGGAACATCGCTGAGCAGGTGAGTAAAGCCGCCAACGCCAGGAGAGCCATGTGCCAGAACGAGTTGTCTCGTTTCAGGACTGTTGTGCCCGTCAGAAGCGCTGGTTGTATCACTGCAGCACTCGCTAAAAAATGAAGAAGATGACGTATTGACTATACAAGGTTTAAAACCTACTTCTAACTTAGTTTTGTAAGGGCTTCTAACCGTTAGAGTTTTTCTTTTGACCAGTTTTGTCTTTAGCTTCAAAGTTACAAGTAAATTTACTTTTCAATTTTTCACATACATGCGTTAATAATCCTAGATTATATATTATTTTTCACGTTACAATTTCTAGCTATATTTATTTTTGTGTCGTAATCCATTTGAAATATGTGCATAAATAAATATTTTCCAGCTAGTAAGATGGCCAGTCTTGACGCAAAAGTTGATTTGAAGGATTTCTCTTACTCGTATATGCGCGAACTTTCCCCCAAAACAATAAATTATGACTATCCTCTTTATTCATAAAAAGTTAATCGGTAATAGGACCGGTTAAACAGAGAAATTTATATGTATCTTTTTATTACAACGTAAACACAAATGGACCGAAAGAGAAGAAATATTTATTTTTACAATTAAGTGGTTTGTTTACCACTTATTTAATACATAAAAAAGTCAAATAAGTATAATTAAAAAGTACCTATCCTCAAACAACATATAAAAAAAAATATATGTATACACATATAACAGCAAATCGATAATAATACTTATATAGAAATCGAGTAAGTTTTTCAAGTTACCGGCTGCCATAATGGCCTCGGGCTCCGGTCGGGCGGGCTGCGTGGAGTCGACGTGGTCAGCACCGCCTGAACTGCTGTCGTCCTCCGGGGAATACTCCGATACTTCCGGCGTTCTCAGATCCTGTTGAATAATACAGTATAAAAATATATAACTTTACTAAGGCTCAGATTCAGAGTCGGGACTAAGCGTTATGTATTATTTCTGTATGTCAAATCCAATACGGAGTCATTCTCTACGCTTTCAAAAACGTTTTACTTTACGTTAACTTTAGCGTTATAAATTGCCGGCAATATAACTTTTTTATTTAGAAAACGATATACAGTCAAACCTGGATAAGCGAGAGTTCAAGGGAGCACAATCTCATTCTCGTTTATGGAGGTTTCTCACTAACCCGAGTTTCTTGCTAATGCAGGGTACTGGGTAGCGTTGCTCTCTTATAGAGGTAAGGAGGAGCAAGTACGAATGTAGTAAATATGTAATATGATAAAATTATGTGCATAATGTGCACAACATATTATGTACAATGTACATATATATTTTATTTTATTTAGAACTAATTTACACTTAAAAAAACCCGCAATTTCGTTTGGGTTTCTGTTTTTGTATTTTGAATGTTTATCTCTAACTGATAATTTTGTCGAATATTGCTTGATCAACAACCGCCGCGCCGCGTTTTCAAAGTACTGATGGGGACCGTCTCCAACGCATTTAAAGTACATAATATAACTAAATAAAACCCGACTGTCGCTTATAGAGGTAAAGATAAGTAGCAGTCATTCTCTTACGGTGGTTCAGGGGAGGGAAAACGCACCCTCTTACAGAGGTTTGTGTTTCTGTTTTCGCTAATAGAGGTTTTGGGAGCGTTAAAATGACGGTTCCCGGTTATTACCCTCACTTGTAGAGTTTTCTCACTTATCCAGTTCTCACTTACCCAGGTTTGACTGTAATTGAATAAAGCGAAAGAAACTAGAAACTACATAACCATCAATATTGTCAGAAATCCATGATAAAATTAAGAATTAAGATTAAATAATTGCCAACTCTCCTTTTTTGACAGCGGTCGCTTTCTATACTCGATCTATAATCTAAAAATATATCCTATCCAGTTTTTTTGCGATCGAGCTATCGATCGAGAATCTGCATTTCAGTATGACAATCGCTGCTTTGAAATGCTTGTAAAAAAAAAGGATTGGTGGTAAGTTAGCGTCCCGCATGTGCAATCCTTATTCATTAGAAACTATATTACTACTTGAAGACATGATAAATATGAATTCAGCGTTGTTTAGAGTCACCAGAAAGTTTATTCGCTGTAAACTTTTTGTATACATATTACACAACAAAACAGCACCGCAACAATCGTGAATTGGTCAAAGTGGGAAGATCGCAAATTCAGATTGATAAATATCAAAATTAGATCTGTCGAATTCAAAGATATTTTATAGAAAGCGTTAATCTATCATTTTCATACAAATATCAATCCAATAATACAGATCGGTCAATCCAAAAGTACTGCCAAAGAACATAAACAAAACAGATTGACTATCAATCCATAGATGGGTTATTCAAAAGAAGTTTATGAGAAATGGATTGAAATATCAACCTCTAGTAGTAAAAAGTAGTTTTGATATAGAAAGGGGCCGAGTAAGTAAGTTATTGGTCTGAATATAAATGATATTGTGAATCTAAATGACACAGACCTCATTCATAATTTAGGACTTCTACGCATAAATAGTATGGCCTAAAATAACTATTTCATAAACAAGGGTTTTCAATACATAAGCCTTCTATGTAAACTTGAGTTTTATTACATTACGAGATAACAACTAATCTAATAATATTAGCCGAGCAACAGTAAAATTGCAAAACGTGACGCTGAGGTTAAACGATTTGATACGGTTTCATCGTGCGACATCACATGACAAGAGCAATTGTATTTTTATTTTAGAACATTTTACATGTGAGCTGCATGTTTTCTTTCAAATTTTCACCCACACGTTATACAGAAAAGAAGGTACAAACCAAAAATTAAGATATCATAAAACACATATAAAAATTATAGTGAAAATAAAAATTATTTTGGTCAATATTGTAATTTCAGAATGCACTAATTTTATTTTTGAATTGAAACTTCTTTAGGCGCATGAGGGTTAAAATTTGACGAAATTAAACGCAATAATATTAATATACGCGTCACGAAGATGTGCAGCGTTTTTGTTGAAGGGAGAGAGCGATTGAGACAGAGTGAGAAAGGGCCAACGTAGCATGAAGCAAATAGACATGGAGCGAGAGTAGGTATTATCGTTAGCACGTATACAGTATGTTAACAGTGTGAATATAGATATACAAATACATGGAGTGATCATATACTGGTACATGATCATCTATTGGGGCTTTTACCTTAGTAATAATTAATTTACAAAAAAGTTTCACTTCTGACATGTGTACTTTGTACGCACACACTTTTTTTCTCTTTACCATGTCTTTGACTAAGTATTAAACGGCTTATATTCAGACGTTTTTATTTTATATTTGAATGAAAAGCCTTAGTTTTGCGCTTAACCATCGCTCTGTATTTAGCATCGTGTTTATTTTTGAATACTATTTTTATATTATATATTATTGTTTTTATCAATTAGTCTATATGATTGATTATTAAACGCCGGCGTATAATATTTGTATGACAAGCCGTAAAATAAAAAAATAAAATATGTTTACTATGGAACATAAGATACAGGTATCACGTCATTAAACTTGAATCGGTAGGCATCCCTACTCATCGGCAAAGAAGACAGAGGGCGTAGGCCGAGAGAAAAAGCCGGCGTAAAAAACTCTCGTACGTGACCTGGGTCTTAATAAAGTCATGTACTGTATTGTAATTTCTCTAACAATATTTAAACAACATAACAATGTATAAAATAACATCCGTATCAGTATCAACGTAAAAAGGTCATTGCATATGCATATGACGTAAATTGACTAACGGAGAAAAACAATTTGCAATACATGTTTTTATCCGCTAAATTAATTACGGAAACTAAACGGCTTCATTAACATTAAAACAAAAATTACTTTGGGTTTATATGACCTCTAGCTTTTTTGGAATTGACTTTTTATAATAATTAATCACATTACATATGAAGCATTGTGTTCGTTATTGCGTCGCCTAAAGTGTATTTTACATTGCACAATTGTTAAAACTACTTGCGAATGAAACAAAAAAGTTTGTCGATTTGATGATTTATAAATTAAAAATCATAAATAATATAAACTGAATATAAAAAATAATGAGTTTTTCATTTTATTTTATCTACACTGTGAAGAAATCTATTAGACTGTTTTGTTTTAAATATTTCTATGATACAGAAAAACTAGTGGCGCTACAACCTTTAGGTCTTGGCTCCAGATGTTTTGTGCTTTCGTGATCATTCATAGAAAGTCGGTGGTCAGCCTTCAATGCTTAAACAGGGCCTTTTGGGGTCTAAGGCGTGCCGGTTTCCAAACTTTTTTCCTTCACCGTACATAAGTGGTGAATGCGCCGGGATTCGAACCAGAGAGTGAGAGCAAGTTCAAGCCACTAGGCCACCTCTATGCAACCATTAAAACTGCTTACCTGTGATTTCGGTACCGCAAGCTCCGGAGCCTTGGACGACTTCCAGATCAGGGTCATCAACTTGTAAGTGGCGTCCCTCGAGAGCAAGGAGCCAAACACATGTCTCTCATCTCTCGTGCACACCCCTACCGCATTAGGGATGATTCGCGCCACCTTCTCCTTCGTTATCCGAAGAACGGACGACGTCGGTATTAATAACTGAAATAAAATAAAATATGATACTTAAATAACAATACAATACTGGCTTAATTTGAAATAGTATAAAAACTATACAATAAAATATGTAAAAACATAGGCCCAAAATCACTACGTAATGTCGAGGCTATTCAACTCCTTAAAGGGCCAGGGGAGAAAAGGACAAAACCATTTGAACTAGTAAAATTAGTGTTAGTGCAGCGTCAGTACTAAATACACAGAGAAAGAAAAAAAATAGAACACAAGACATTTTCCCTTTAATACAATTTATTAAAAACCTATTAGTAAATGGTTAGACTTAAATTATTATAAGTCTTAAGTTAGGCTAGATTGTAATGTTCCATGATGTCTTAGTAAAGACACATGTATATAAAAAAAAAAATATATGTTGATTATGATTATGTTACGATGATTCTTAATCATACGCATTTCGTGGATGTGTGTTAATATTTAATTTTCAATATTTTTTTATTTTTTAAACAGATTTTTTTGTAAACCAAACCATAGACTTCACTCTAGTAACTAATGAGAAATTCACTCCCACGATCGTGAGAAATTCACGCAAATTTGTACGGTTTCTCCAAATTTGAAGACTTTCTTAGAAACGCTGATGTTTATATCAAAATTTGTATAAAGTATAAGCTTTCGTAACAAACCCGTTCAGTAGTAACAATTAATTAAAGACAAAAATATTAAACATTTAAAATAGGGTTTTAGTAAAACCTTTTCCTCGTAATTTACGTGTTGGCGTATCCTTATTTGAATTTTTTATTTTTTTATATAGAACAGGGCAAACGGGCAGGAGGCTCACCGGATGTTAAGTGATAACATCCGGTGTTATGCCGGATTGAGAGTTGAGAGTGTCCTCTACCATGGACACTCTCAATGCCAGAGGGATCGCGAGTACATTGGTACGCTCTTTTCTTGAAAGAACCTTTATTTATTTGTTCAACACTCTATGATCTGGTATTATCGCTATCAAACTAAACTAATATAAATACTGTATTATATATATATATATATATATATACTATATATATATATATATATATATATATATAAATTACTTACTTTAGTCACATATCCAAATACATTGGAATAAAATGCGAAATAATTCTTCGTTATATATAAATGCCCTTGCAGAAGTATGTCGCCTACCAGCGCACAGGAATAATCTGAAACCGTACATTACTTTGTTGTAATACAATAATTGTTTAAAGGAAAATACCATCTTACATAAACATAAGAATAAAAGAACAAGGAGCAGTATTGACCTAATTGAGGCGTGCGATTCATTTCATTGCGACATTGCGTTTGAACTTGGTACTCTGTAAATTTGCTATCAATATTAAAAGTTATACTAAGTACGAAGGAGTTCTCTCAATATTTGTAAGTATGAATTCCGTATGTCAAAATTTTGTTAAACATACTAACGAGAATTAGGGGGGGGGGAGAAAAAAAAAAGGGGGGGGGGAGGGGGGGGGGGGGGGGGGGGGGGGGGGGGGGAGGGGGGGGGGGGGGGGAAAAAAAAGAACTAGCGCTAAGGAAAAGATTCAGAAACCAGAATTAGCGCTAACTATTTTTTTAATGTGAAATTTACTATCAAAAACGAATAAACATTATTTGACACTAGACAGCGTATTTGACCGCAATTAACAGTTTCAAAATTACGTATTAGTACCGATTTACAGCTTTCTGCCGAACCATTCGCTAAAATTAGCAATGCGTTAATGACTTTAACAGCCAATTTTCACTATATATTTAGCTAAGATACTGTCATGAGTCCCACAACAATATTTGTTGTTTATAAAACATTTTGCTGATGTTAAGTTTAATAACTCTAATATTCGTGTTTTTGGAATTTATAATGAAATGTATGAAAGTATGTAGGTACTTTCAGAGGGTACTACTACTAAAACACTATCAAATAGGCCCTTGACACGTGGAACTAAAATATAACAACGATACATTGAATAGTGTAACAAAATAAATACGTAAAAATATGCGCTTTGAAAGCTATTTTTAAAATTATTATGGATACAATATACTTACAGTTAAGCACCCGTTCCTCGGGCCCGACCTGCGGGAAGTGCCGCTGGAACTTCTTCTGCCTCGACTTGCTGGGCTGCTTGCACTCCGTCGTATCATCCGAGCCTGCTATGCCCACTCGCACCGACGGCGCAGAGCCCGACAATGGCTTCACTACATGTCTGAAAGACGGGATATTAAGTATTTATTAACAATTTTTGAAACATTATTGCTATTTAACCTATCTAAACAATAGGGCAGGTTGGATATTCTTTCTGGACCAGACCTAGCCCCGATGGGCTGTAGCGTAGTATTTAAAAAGTGAAAAACGTGGTAACTACTTACATTAATTTTATAATCTCATATTGACTACTTTACAGTTCTGGTCAGTTATGTCGCACATAAAACATTATATAAAAAACATATATGAAATATTGTAGATTAATCAACGCAATTTATACGAATCACAGCACTTGGCACGCGGTCATAACTTTTACAAGATGTCAATAAAAAAATATTATAAATATTGCGTGTTAATATTATAAATGTGTGTGACAAAAATTCTATTACGGTGCATTACTAGCAATCTGATTGTGCAAAGTGTTATGTAGGTTATTTGAAATTAGAACATATTTAATACCACTTAGCATTTGCTTGACGTGTTTATTAAATCGTCAAATATTGAAATTGTATATAATCTGTAAAACCAAGTAAAATATTCAAATTTTATATTTATCTAACATGGTTCAATAACAAAAATTGTAGGCCGTCGTGGGACACCTGGCAGATGTAAAACATCGAAATTATTTATATAAGGGAATAATTATAATTTAAAATTTGAAAATATATATTTTGTATAAGTATAAAGATAAAAGAAAAGATTACGGGAACTAAATATGGCATAATGAAAAAAAAAATATCACAATTTCTAACTTATGTGACTGTGTATTTAAAAAATCTTTGTTTTCATTATCAAATACAAAAGTCAAAAAAATTATATGACCTCAGTAATAGCTATATTCTATGTTGACTCTGATATGACGATGACATATTATATGATGTATATTATATGTACCTACAATCCAGCCAGCCAGGTACGGCAGGTGTCCCCACGCCAATAATCAGTTTTACCCAAACCCTGTTTTACATCAAAAATACATTCAAAGATAAAATATGGAATACTAAATTAATTGAAAATATGTTTTGTTCTTTTACCCTTATCTAAACAAACGCACGAATTGCGGTTGCACTATGGAGTTCGCACTTGACTACTGCTGTTGAGACAGTAGCTCGAGAGCGAAGCTTGCATCAGCACCACATACATCAAAATCTCATAGAAAGAGCCAGGATTTGTATACCTATTGAAAGTTACGTAACGAGAACGCTATCGGCTCATGCCGAACTTAGCTCCGAGGAAAAACCGTCTCGTGGGCATGAGCCCTAAGTGTAATCCAGTACGTCAAAAATGTATTGGCTTTTGACATACGAAAGTGATAGTTCGTGCTAATTCTCGTTCCTGAATCTAACAGGGTACCACTGGACGTTTACGGCACTTTGCGAGATTAGGTTATCTATGGCCTTTGATAGTCGTGAAAATCAGTTGATAATATTGTACGAAGCGTGGTCACACTGATACTTGTGTTGTTATTCAAATAGCGTCATATATTTAAAATAAGTTTAGACAAGAATTACAAATTGCGATTAATATTTCACATAAAACGAAATAGCGATTTAAGTCATATGGGTAGATAAAAACCTTTTAAAATATCTGTAAACAGCTAAAAAATTATAATTAAGGTTATTAAATTATTATTCCTAAGTTTTTCCGGAAGTTTTATGTTTTTGTGACTTTACCTCAAATACCTTGAATGCGCAAACAATTTTCCTTATGTGTGGTATCAACATCTTAATTATAAACCGTAAAATTACAAAATGTTGTTTCTCTTTTATCTCAGTAGAAATCTTAAACACTTCTGTTAAACCCAGGTTTTTTTATATTATTTAAGTAACGTTCTTATTTTAAATGTAATTTCAGTAGTAACACACGATAAATGCTTAGGCTAACAAGCCACAGTAAACCTAGAAGCGATAGAGTATATAATTTCAACCGCAATTAGTCTACAGTATACTTATCTATGGTAACTACAATATATTCTACATTCATCTGTGGTAAAGTACAATTTAACAAACATATTCCATAACCGAAATACCACGTGATTAATTTTAAAGTAGGTATCTATGTAAGCAATGTAATTTGATTATAAACCAAAAAGAAAAACAAGTAATAATGTGCACAGCAAGAGCATCAAAATGCTAACTTCTGTCTGTGGCTTAGCTCCCTAAACAGCCTGTGCTGAGCTACAGAGGTTCAAGATGTCATTAGCGAGATGGGATTTCAAAATCAAACCTATTTAAATTTATTAAATTCAACGCTTTTAAAATTTTATGAAGGTTTATGTAAAAAAATGCTTACTTGTATAACTGTATTACGTACTTCGTCAAAACAATAACGCCCATTTCAAAACAGTACACTAAACAGGACCAAGATCAACTGATTGAAATCCTTACAACACCAAGTTTATATTTGTTAGGAATTTAAAATTCAGCATAAACCGACCGACTTTTCAAGATCATTTCTTATTCCCCCAAGCTGTAGCGATCTTAATACATAAATCATATGTGACGTACGTCATTGAATTTTAATATGACATGATTTTAAATAGTATTGTTTCAGAAAATCTATAGAATAAATAAAATAATAATTTACCTGGCCCACAATAACAAACATGGAGGAACAGTTTGTAGTTGCTGGTAAGTCTTTTTTAGCCAACTCGTCAATATCACACAAGAGTAGGTACTTATGGATTTTAAAATAAATCGGCGGGAGTTTAATTCTATATTTAATTTCTTTGTCAATTGTTAGAACTTCCACAGACTGAAAAACCTAAACACATGGAAGTCTATGGTTACGGTAAATATATTGGTTATAAATTTAAAAATATGTTCCGAATTAACATTTGAACGAGAGTTCAGCGTTCCATTTTTAAAAATCGAATGCGTGAACTTCGAAAAATCATAGAAATTAAAATATATTATATTTTCGTAATTTACCGTTGGTCTGAATTGAACTAAAGTTATTATTTACTTTAAAGAAAAATACAGGTAGCTAAAGACGTTTCTTACAAAATACCTGTAGTGTATGTGTCATCATCAAATATTTATAACTGTTCTAAATGCAGTACGGTGCTCTATATTTTGTGTTTATCAACGTAAAGATTAAAGTTTAGATTTCACATCCGCGATTCATTTCCCGGACGCGAGAAGTCAGTGTACTTGTTTCGACTTTCTTTTGTTTCTCGCAAAATATCAATAACTGAATAATAAGCAGGAGCCCGCGAAGTCTTGGAATTAAACTAAGGTTTTTTAATATTATACTACTTAAAGAATTAACAGTCACTGCAGCCGTATAATTAATAATAAGTTTAGTTTTAGTTTAGTTTGTTAGTTAATTTAGTTTGTTGACAGTATGATTTTTTTTTCGAAGAGAATTGAAGTCAAAATATAAATAATACATTGTGTCGGCCAAAAGTTATTCATGACTTCGACATTTAAAAGGGCCCTACTTTTGTAAGCCTGACAGAATCGACGTCTTTTAAGATTGTAAATACACATCATGAACTTCATGTTTTCATTTGCGAGTTTAATTTTCCCCTCAATAATAATTGTTTCCGGTTATTGGTGGGTCGAGAGATACCTTTATAAAAAAGTGTCAAAGAATCTGGCCAGAAACTAATAAATATCTGCCTCCGGAGAAGAAAAAACACATACATATTTTAAATATTAGAATTATATTATAGGGGAAGGTAGGGTAAGGTGGGGACTCTAACGTATTTCACAAATAAAACCCCCAGATTTTAATTGCACAATGTAGGAACTTTTATTAAGAAAATATTCAGTCTTTCTTCCTAATTCTAATAAGTCAAAACAAAAAAAATAAGTCTTCTCATAGAAATATCAACTTTAACAAAATAACTAAATCTCCCACCTGTATGGCAAGACACCCTGTATCCCGTCGGATAGTGGGGTATAGAATATTTAAAAATTGTTTCAATATTGTAACGATTATATTAATGACAGTTTCCTCGACCTTACTGATAACACTTTAGATAACGTACAGTAACAACAAAGTATTGATTATAACAGTTTCTTCAATATTATTGTGATATAACAATTTAAATCGATTGAGTCGTAACGCATGTACAATGCTCAAATCTCATTCCACAACATTGCTTTAACGGTTTTTCTCAATTAACTTTGTATAACCAGCTGCCCACTGAAGTATTTCCGAACCAATTTGACTTAGAATTCTTCAAGAAAAGTGCGTACTGATTCTTAAAATTCCGGCAACGCACTCGCGAGCCCTCTGGCACTGAGTGTCAATGGGCGGCGGTATCACCTAACATCAGATGAGCCTCCACTACTATATAACTTCTCTCAATGTATTTAGAATTAAGTATTTGCGAATCGGGCACATCCAAACGAAGAACAGAATACAAACCCATCGCCACCACTTTTGTGTAAAAATCATCAATGCAATACCTGTCATCTTGGCCGGTAAAACTATCTTCGTTGCTTGAATCGTCTGAATATTCAAAACTCGCGTTATCCATCATTGATTGATAACATATCACACATATATATCAATCACATTTTACGATATTTAACACTACACTTACACGGCACTGTTCCACGTGCCACTATCTGTATGAAACGCGCGTTCAGCTTGCCGTCTAAGTAATATCTATTCGACTAAACACGTTCACACACCACTCACAATACCTTCATATTGATATATCGAAATTAATTTATCAAAGATAACATAACTTAGGCAAGTGAATCACATTGCTTCGAAACGGTTCGTCGAACTTGTTCGCATCTACACTGTTCCATTTTGCTTAAAGCAATTCAAACTTTGTTATGTAACGCATAAAGTATTGTTTTGTCTACCATGCGTGATAGTACTCCGAAATAGTTGGTGTGAGTGAGACAAGACACCTGAGTCAACAAACCACGACGCAACGGTACCGCTTCATAGCTAATACTGCATTTGCACATGCAATAATGACCGATCGTTTATAAGTACCGTCAGATAATTGCATAATCTATTGTTTTGCATGTAAACGATAAAAAAATGAATCATGTTACTACCTACTAAGACATATTTTTATCGTATTTACGTCATTATATTGTGATCATATATAATGAATCATAACTAAAAATAGGCGTGTTAAATATAATTTGTAGTAAAATAAATATGCAGTTTTAATTGCAATGCGTTAATGTACCACAATTGTAAAAGTATTAAAACAATATGATAATACGAAAAATTAAAGGACAGCGCGTGTTTTTTCATCGTCATTGGTCCAACGTAGCGGAATCGTATTACGTGTAAATAAACTAGAGATGTTGACCAATCACAATCAAATAAATCGCGCCATCATTTATTTATTCAGATGCTATGTTGTCTTAGTAGTATTTTCTTAAATGAATAAATCAGTACTAAAAACACATTATGTTGTAGGATTACGTCTGACCTAAAATGTAATATCTAAACTATCTTAGAGTCATATATGTGCTGACGGTACATATTGGTATGAATCGAGGGCAAATCGGGAACATCAACATTATCTACATTGATTGAACAAATGGGTACTCACGCGCAACTCGCTCTCAACACGTGACAAGATTGCAACATTAAAATTTCATTCACCAATCTTTTACGAATAAATACATAAATTACCTAGCCACAGCACAGGCTTTCTACCTATTATATATTTCACATCTATGACTTCAGATATTATAGACACGAATCTGGGACCTTCTCGATTACATTGGAACTCAGCCTAGATAGATATATTACCGCGTAATACTTTTTGCAATAAATTTGTCTAAAAAGATCGTGGGATTAAACATAGAAAATCATTTGATTTGATTATTCAATATTCGAGATCGATACAACGATTATAGCGGTCAACAATTTTTCAATATCATTTTTATAATATTGTCTTTAGCTTCAAAATAGGCTTCAGTTTCGGGTATTACCTCTTCATCAGCGCAAATTTCCTGTCCAGCGAGCATTCTCTTTAGGCCTGAGAACAGGAAAACGTCGCGGGGGGCCAAATCTTTCCATAAAAATTCGGATTTATTATTATTCATTACTCATCGATTGTGAGCTCGCGCGCTCATATTCATCTAGGATATGTCCAACACGTTCCTTTGATTTCTTTAGGGTCTCAGCTATAATAATCAACTTCACTTTTCAGTTATCCAAAATTATTTTGTGGACTTTTTTATGTTTTTGTCGGATGGGGCAGGCTCACTCCGTGCATCGGCCTCGGTGCTCATTTTGCGTCGTTTAAACTAAGTAAACAACAACTTCAAAGGTTTTTCGCCAAAAAGCAATGCATTATCAGCGCACGAAATTTTCTTTTATCAATAATTTTTTTAAACAAACAAAAGTTTCTTGACTCAAAATACTATATCTCACAAACGAATAAGTAGTACGACAGTGGTGAAATTTATAGACGTGTCTTTTAATTGTTAGTGTTAACTAAAAATATTATAAATTTAATACGAGTAGCGCCATCTATGTATTAGCATACGAACTTTTTAGCCCACCGATTAATTTGTGTGTTTTATGGGGCCGTTCAAGTATTACGTAAGCAGATTTACTGCAATTTATCCCCTCCCCCCCTCTCTTGTCAGCAAAAGTAAAAGTACATAAACGTATTAATCTTTTGTAGGAATCCTCGAAAATGCTTTTCGTTTCCAAGCACAGACAATTACTCTAAACTTTGTCATAAGCACAAATTAGATTCGGCTTTTCATTGTGACAATTGACGCTCTTTTACCACGTGACAGCTTCAGATATAATCTAGATAATGATATGTCTAACTTAATCTGATTGCTAAACGACACATCTTATACTACAGATTATATCCAACAGCTGTTACATTAATTGGGCACAACACAAACCAGACAAACCATAATATAAACACTGGTTTGTCATGATTTATTAGCGGATCTAGTTCAGTAATAACATTAAAACACCATACAGAACAGATGTAATTAACCAAATTTATTACCCACCGCAACAGATTAAATTTGCGTGTCAGAAACGGTTAAACGGGACACAAAAGCTATTTGCAACCAAATTACTATTTAATATACAGGTTGGTCAAAAAGTCGTGGATCAAACGCAAATAGGGGATAGATGAGGTCATCAGCTGCAAAAAAATGTTCTACGGGAGGTCTCTAAGCTCAACCCCTGCAGAGTTATAATTTATTTTGCGTTTTAGTAGAACCCCCCTCCCGTAGAACAATTTTTTGCAGCTGATGACTTCATCTATCCCCTATTTGCGTTTGATCCACGACTTTTTGGCCACCCTGTATAGTCTTGAACCATAGAACAATATTAAAACTATAAAATATTGACTAATAAACAATAATAACTCCATTATGAAACAGTCGCAATACTTAAAATTAAATAATTATTTTTTTCTATTTCTGTATTAAATGTATTTATAAATTTTTAAAGGGTGTACAATTTTATTTTATTATTTATATCATTATAATATTGATATCATCTTAACTATTATTATTTCATCTATGTCCATAGAATTACCATTGGCTATTCAAAGCTTTTTTTCTTGTTAATATCAGTACTAATGACACATATAACAAGTTTACAACAAACGAAAATGTACTAGAGTATCCATCCATAGATATATTTGATTAAATCTTAGTACATTAAAAATGTTCTCATATTGGCCATTTTGATAAGAGACACAAAAATTTTGCCTGCTCCAAGCTCACGATGTTACGCTTAGGACTAGCAAGTAATTACTCGACGCAAAGTATTCATTAAATTTAAATTTATTTGCTCCATTAAACGTAGAACAAGAAATGCGATAACAAAACCAGCACAATAGAATAATGTGAGTTATAATTGTAGCGATTTTGAAACTTGGCAAATTAGCTTTCATAAATTGATTCTTGTTGCCTAAGACTAAACTTCTTAGTTTATTATTTATCAACTGCTTCAAGCACTACCTAGAATCATATATTAGATAACTATATTTAAATAATAAACCAACACTAATATATGAAGAAATTGGTTGATAGCGGAGTGGATCGCGCTGAAGAATTCTTATCTGTATTGGATCATACATGTTTGGAGGAAGACTATACATGCTTTGACGCACGCACGTGAAACTGCAATACACAATCAGTATAATTAAAATTATTTAAGTTTATTTAGGATATCTCAGGGATACATTAAGGATGTAGGGGACGTCGCCACAATAATCCAAAAGATTGCTGGAGCCCACGAACAAAGGCTTCCAACATTACGTAAATGTCTAGGCTATTTAACTTCTTAACCCTCTTGGCCTAGTGATAAGATAGAAAAGGACTAAACCATTTGAATTAGTGTAAATGCACACTTAAGCTAAACAGTGGTAAGTGAAAAATAGAGACTGTAACTAGTGTTATTGGACACTTTCTTATGTTAAATATCCTTATCGTAGTGTTCTATGATGTCTCAGTTATAGCACATAGCTTATTTATTATAGCTTCACATATAATAATAATAATAATGTTTACACAACAAACCTTAATCCACCATACGCGTAATACAAAACTCTTTTGATTTTCACTGATTCATCAGAGTATGGCGCCATTTAAAAAATCATTAAAAAGCGGAATATACAATTTCGCGAGTAAACACGATTAGTCGACATCGTGTTGGAAGCGTAACTGAACTACTAGGTAGGTAAGGTACCTTAATATTGCTAATCGCCGGTAATCACCAATAGTGCTTTTATATTGACGACCTGATAAATGATCTCGATAAGGCCTAATAGGTTAGTACATCAGGGCATTACATGCATTATTCTAGCACTAACTTCTATATTCCTAACTAAGTCTAGAAACCATAAACTTCTAGCCAAAAGTTAGGAAAGTTAGGAACAAGTGTTTGATTAGGTTCTGTAAGTTCTAGAACAACAAAGGTTCAACAAACTTGTTTTTTATGTAAAAAAACAGTAACCATGCCACTCTTGCCCTCAGATTTCTGTTCTGTCAAATAGAGCAGGCGCCCCCAACAACAAGAGGTTTGCAAGTTCGTTGCCGGCTTTAGAGGTAGTGGTACGCTCTTCTCTTAATAGCAAACCAAGCATACCCGGGGTATGAACTACCCGAGGATTGAGTCCGGCTAATGCTACCTTTTTAATGTTTTTATCGTTTCAGCTGTGTTTTATCTGATCTTGTACATCAAAGTTAGATTACATACATTCCATTATACGCTAATTTTAACCGACATAAACATGTTCACAAAGTATCGGCTATAAAAATACTTTTTGCTTATGAACATTACGTTTCTACGCAATAATATTTAGGTGAAGTTCCTGTGTCTATTTAAATAAAGAATATTATTAACTAGCTTTTTTAGCTAAGACAAATTGGGAAACACAAACTAGGTCACATCGCGGAGTATGAGGATCAGCGCTGTTTCTTAACTACTTGGAGATAGACGCATTAAATTTTTTTTGCGACTGAGGCGCAAACTATCTGCTGTGGTCTCTGGCAGAATGACCAGCGCTGTGCAACATTC